GGGGGGGGGGTGAGTGATTCTGGATGAACAGTTTGCGGCCCTTTTTATGACGTCTGGCAGGCATTTAAGGTTAATGCAGAAACAGGAATCATTGGAAATGGGAAAGAAAGGCACAGCTCAGCTGTGGGAGTGAAGAGGAAGTCAAAGTGTATGCCATGTAGCACAGTCAGTGGCAAGGGGGTACTTGATGGGTACTACCATATGTCTTATTCAGAGGGGTTACGCTAATCTATTCATGAGGATGGAGAAGATGTAGCCAACTTCATCTGGAAAAGTGACACCTGGCACAGGTTGTTCAAAGAACCTGTGGGATGGGAAGTCGACAGAGACAATGAAGAGGACAGTGATGCAGCTGGACCTGGAGACAGCAAGAAAGACTACAACAGGATCAGCAGCAGCGGAAGTGACAGCAATAAGGACAGTGAATAAACTGAGTATGTAAATTTCAAATCGGGGTTTGGACTAAAGGACTGCAACTTGGGTAGGTGAGGGTGGAGGGAGGGTGCGCAGCAGCGGAGGGGATTGGGTGCGTTTATTGTAATGGGAAGCGCGGGTTTCTTAATGCGGTTTTAAGATGTGTGAAGGAAAGCTTATGATAGAGGATGTATATATATAACTCTCTCTATATATATAGAAGTATATTTTAATTAAAAAAAAAAGGTAGAATCAATTTCAAATGGGAGTCTCCTCCCTTGCTTCCTCTGAGGGCCTTATGGCTAAGGGCAAGCAAAACTTGGGGGCATCCGAACCCCAAGCCTCTGGGCTTGGGCCTGCAAGCAGGATGTCCGCCAAAGGTTTCGGAAACATCTGAAGTCCCAGGTGCAGATGGAGGATGTTTGCTGGTAATAGGGCCACTTATGGTTCTGGACTCTTGGATTTGGACTTAGTGTTGGCTAACACGGCCTCAGATACAAATTATTTATATACACATACATATATATACATAATACACATATGTATATATATATACACATATACATACGTACACATATACACACACATACACACACATATACACATACATATATAGACACACACACACACACACACATATATATAAAGAAAGAAAAGTTAGAATCAACTTCATAGTTGGTTTCTATTGCTGATCACATGATGCTTTTTGCAGCAGTTTAATGATAGATAAAGTTTTTATTGAGACTTCTTTGTATACGATTATAAGATGAGGGGCTTTTTTCCTCATGCCAGTTGAGGGGGGAAAAACCTCATCTTGTATTTGAGTAAATATAATACATTGGATTTGATTAGTTTTGATTGTATAAATGTTACAGTATTACTACAGTTCCAGTAGGTAACAGACCTACAGATATGTGCAGAGCTTTTCAAGCTCACCCTAGGGCACCTTTCCTTTGAAGTAATTTTCACTGTGTTCCACATATACCCAAGAGACAATATTAAAACATTTTAAAGTCTACCCCTTACCCATTTATTATTCATTTCCCAGTCAGAACAAAAGTTAACTCAAGCACTTTTGGGGAAAAAAAAGATTAAATCAAGATAAAATTTAATGTAGATGAGCCCCTAAATGAGATTTTTAGCCTACATGTGATTTTTTATGTCCAAGAATCCAGAACCTCTAACAAATTCAGAATGCATTCAGAATGGAAAAACTGATATTATAACAATACTAAGGAATGTTCCTATGACATGATACCATTTACTGAAGGTTTGGTTAGCTCCAAGATACACACACATACAAATAGATTTCATATATTTCATAGACATTAGGGCTGGAAGGGACCTCAGAAGATCATCGAGTCCAGCCTCCTGTCCCAGGGGCAGGAAGTCAGCTGGGGTCATAGGATCCCAGCAAGATAAGCAGCCAAATTTCTCTTGAAGGCATTCAAAGTAGGTGTTTGAACCACCTCTGATGGCAGGCTGTTCCAGACCTTGGGGGTTCAGACAGTAAAGAAATTCTTCCTTATGTCCAGCCTGAAACGGCCTTGCAGGAGTTTATAACCATTCGACCTCATCATCCCTTGGGGCGCTCTGGTGAACAAATATTCCCCCAGATCCTGGTAAGCACCCCTGATAAACTTATAGGTGGCCATCGGATCGCCCCTGAGCCTGCACTTCCCCAGGCTGAAGAGTCCCATAGCTCTCAGCCTGTCGGCATAAAATCTGTTTTCCTGACCTCTGATCATGCACGTGGCTCTTCTCTGGACTCTCTCAAGCTTCTCCACATCCGTTTTAAATTGTGGAGCCCAAAACTGAACGCAGTACTCCAGCTGCAGCCTCACCAAGGCCAAGTACAAGGGGAGAACGACATCCTGGGATTTGCTTGAGAAGCATCTGTGGATGCAAGCCAGCGTTTTGCTCGCTTTACTAGCTGCAGCATCACATTGAAGGCTCATGTTCATCTTGTGATTAATCATGACCCCCAAGTCCCATTCATCCATAGCACTAGCCAGCATAGTGCTACCGAGCCTATAAGGATGCTGCAGATTTTTCTTCCCAAGGTGGAGAAACTTGCATTTTTTCATATTAAACACCATCAGGGTCTCGTCCGCCCATTTCCTGAGCCTGTCAAGGTCAGGCTGGATCGCCCTCCTGTCCTCAGGTGTGGATGCTTTACCCCAGAGTTTGGTATCATTGGCAAACTTGGCCAGTCTGCTTCTGACTCCAATGTCCACAACATTAATAAAGATGTTGAACAATAAAGGTCCAAGGACAGAGCCTTGAGGGACCCCACTGGTCACAGGGCACCAAATATCAGATGACTTCTGGAACGTTGGAAATTTTTACTTCTTTCATGTATTTACCAAGCTGTACGCGTCAAAAGAGGTTGGGAAGTTACCAAATCTTTGCACTGAAGAAGGGACTGAGCCAGGACATTTTCTGGAAGTACTGTAGCACCTTCCTATTTGGGAAGGTGTTTAGTGAGCAAGGCCAAGCTGGGATATTTTTAGGGAGATTTTGTTTTATATTTTATTTTAATATTCACCTTGCTTTTATTAATCATTTTGTCTCCATTTCCCCCAGCTTTTGTTGGGAAAGATTGCATAGAAATCTAATAAATAAATAAAATATGTGCCTGCACAAAATTTGCCTCTATCTTAAAATTTTATCCTTTTATCTCTCCTAGCAAGCAAGGCGACATCAGTGTCTACTCTAGTCTTATGAGTTCATAATACTTAGATTTTATTACTTTTCCTTTCAAATTCTGGATTCCCTCGAGGAATTTACTTTGCCAGGCATCTGGACTGAAACCTGAAGGGCAAATCAGTGAGAATTCAAATAGGACTTTTCCTCCTGACATTAATAGAGGGTTGAACCTTAAGGCCTAATCTACTTCCCACTGAAGTCAATGTAAAGTTTCTTACTGACATCAGCAGAAGCTGAACTGAACTGTAAGAAACATGATGTATTCTACAGAAAAAGGGAACACGCAGGAAAAACACATGAGAATAAATTCACACAACTGCTTATTAATGGCATTCAGAATGGAAAATTCTCCATTCAGTTGAGATGGAGAGAAAATTAATCTATTGTTCCAAAACAAAAATACATGTTATTAGTTTGTCCTATAAAAGATGAGACTAGACATTAGGTTTATGAAAACTTAAAAATAATTGTAGATTTTTTTCACTGCCCAGCATGAGAAGTGAAGCCTGATTGAAGATGTTAGAAGAGCTAAAAATAACACAGATAAGCTGTTGAGGTATTTTCTGTAAAAATCTTTCAAAGTCAAATAGATTTACCACGCAAATTTACTACTAACAATTTAGAACACAAAAATAAACACGGTCATTTAAAAAAAAATCCTCATGTTTTCCAATGAACTATATCACGTGAAGATGCCTATTCAACATGGGGAAAATTAAGCCTCATCTTATGATCGCATATGACTTACCTGAAACCAGAAAATGCATGGGACCAGTCGGCAGAGAGCATCTAAGCTCCCTTTAGTGTGCAGGGTTCCTGGCTGCTCTGTTCAGGGTTGCTGCAAGCTGCTGCCTGCCAGTGTGTGCTTGTCAGGTTTGACC